GGATCCGAATGATGGAAAACTATCAATTTAGGACTCGAATGATTGGAAACTATCAATTTAGGACCTAAGTTTTCATAAATTTTATTACTTTTTTTTATTTTAAAAAATTAAATAATATTTAGTTGTATCAAACTAATAAACTTTTGTGAAGAAAGATTCACCAAATATTAGCAATGGAATTAATAAAAAAATTAAATAAATCAAGACCTATGAAATGTTACGTCCTAGATTGATAGTTTTTCATCATTCGGGTCCTTACCGATGCATTTCATCTTTCAAGTCCAGAATTGATAATTCATCCATGTTTCAGGTCCCGGATTGATAAAATTAATATAAGGTCAAGGCATCCAATAAGGTAAGCCCTTATATCCCAACATTATATTATTGTATATGAAATCGGAGCCAAACCAATCGGAAACCACGGCGTGAACCCCCTTATGAAAATTAACGACACAATTATAAAAATGATGATAATGAATCATTGAAAAACTGAATGATGACACGGTTCAGACAAAGTGTATGGTCGTGAAGAGGGTTGTTGTGGTTGTCCGCACTTGTCCCACACCGGATATCTCTAAAACAATTGAACAATGAGTGAATTACCTAAATAGGAGTAAAAGGTAGCTAAAAATCACAAACAGGACTACATTGTTTTAAATCCCATAAATAGGACTAAATATGTGTGTTTGAACAAATATACCCCTGTAGTTTCCTGTACAAAAATAAATATTTAATAAAATTAAAAAAAAACTATAAATTAAAAAATAATTAAAAAAATGAACAAAAAAATATACAAGACTTTGCCGCCACCTCTGTCACCCCTAGCACCATCAACTCCGACCATTGGAAAAATGCCAACATGCATGCATTAGTAATGTCATATTAATGATAGTTTCAATGCAAATTTTGGCATTATCAAAGAGTAATAATGTCATTCTCTTGACATGTTCAGAAACAATGATATTTTTTTTATACAAAACGGTATTTTCACCGACTAGAGGTGGTGGTGCTAGGAAGCAGTAGATGCGGTGAGAGAGATATCCATTATTTTATTTTTTTATGTTTTTTTTACTAATTTTTATTAATTTTTTATTTTTTTATTTTTCATTTTTTTAAATTTTTATTTCATAAATATTTTATTAATCTTTTATTATTTTCTTGCAATTTTTCTTATTTTTATGATTTTATTATGAATTAAAACATTATGAATTAATACCCTTAGGAATTTAGGGTATACAATTAATGTTTAATTGTATTTAGTCCTATTTGTGCAATTAAGTTTCTATTTAGTCCTATTTAGGGCAATTACTATTAAACAATATATTAAGATCTTCGTCTACTCATCATATCAGGTTGATCTTTTTGCATGGAAACCAGATGTTAACATGGTCAGATGGAACCTCAGATGTTAACATGGTTGTGCTTGTTTTTTTGAATTTTGTTGCTGCCTCTTCCAACAAATTCTCGCCGTGCTCCACACCCTATATTTTTATTGCTTATTATGCTCGGGATATAAAGGGTATTGTTGTTTGAAATAATTACATAAATATAATCAAAATAAAGATGATTTACAAAAATATGATAAGTGACTATTCATAGTTATGTAAATATGTTTTATTTTAGTAATATTATTGTAAAAAACCCTTGTTGTTTTCCCTCCTCTAATGATCGTGTTTATATCAGTCACGATGTTCAATTTCTTGAAACTGAATTTCCTTATCTTACTCTCCTTCATCCTAATTCTACCCAAAATTCTATCGCTACACTGCCTATAACGACATGGCTCTCTAGCATTACTGCCCAATAACCTCCAAGCCTTGTCTCCCCACTCACAACCTTGTTTCCCACTGCTATGTCCACCTTATCTCCTTACAACACACCCACGACCAACTGTCATCCACATCTCTATCGTCGTCGGATCATTCATCTTCGACCATTCAGTCAACCCCGCATGTCGAGCCAATCAGTCCCACCTCACTCGCTAGACAGTATTAACGCCGATTTCATGTCCTCTGTCTCTGGCTCCATCTCTCCGTCCCCTGCTCCTGTAGTCGATATCACCTCCTCGTTCGTCCATCCTCCCTCTTTACCGGTCAATGTTCATCCTATGCGCCCTCATGCTAAAGATTGAATTTTTAAACCAAAATCATTTTTTATTTAAGTGTTTTCTTTCTCGTGAATGATCCTACATGCAAATAAAAAATTTATTTGGCGGGATGTCATGGTTGATGAATTTAATGTTTTAATTGCTAATAAAACTTGGAATTTGGTGCAATGACATCATACACGAAATGTGGTTGGTTACATGTAAGTGAGTTTACAAGACAAAATATCATTCTGATGGGTCTCTTGAAGGTCACAAAGATATATCCGTTTGTTTCTCATGGGTTTAAACAACAGGCTGGAATTAATTTTACTAAAATCTTTAGTCCCGTTGTTATACCAACCACTTTCGTTGTGTTTTATCTGTGGATGTTTATTTGGGTTGACCTATTCGTCATTTTAATGTCAAGAATATTTTTCTTCATGGTCATTTAGCTGAAGAAGTTTATATCTTCCATCCTTTTATTCATCCTTCCTTTCATAATCATGTGTATCGTCTGCGAAAAGCGCTATATGGTTTGAAATAGGCTCCTCGAGTCTAGTTTCATCGTTTCAGTGGTTTCCTATTGAAACATGGTTTCCATCAGAGCAAGTCACATTCTTCCATGTTTGTTTACCACTCTCAGTCGGATACTGTTTACTTTTTTTTATATATATGTGGGTGAGACCTTAATCTCTCACTCTCTCTCTCCCCTCTCTCTCTCTTGTTTGGTCTATCACACACACTATTTCCCTACAGTTTGCTATCAAGGAGTTGGGGGGACATTCATTATTTTCCCGGTCTTCAGACACGTCGTACTTCTACTCGGGGTCTTTTTATCTCTTAGGGAAAATATATTATTGAATTATTATGACGTTTTCATCTTCATACAGTCAAACCTGTCTATACCCCCTGCTTCTCGCACTACACTTTCTTTTACAGGTGGGGAACTCTTAACGGATACCACTGAGTATCACATCATGATAGGTGCACCACATACTTCACATTTATTGGCTGCCAAGCGGATTTACAGATATTTGCAAGGAACATCGATGCATGGCTTATGGAACATCGATGCATGGCTCATGGTTGCCCTCAGTAAAAAATATACGTAGTATATGTTATTATTGCTTACTCTGATGCTGATTGGGTTGGACGTCCGAATAGTTGTCATTCTACCACGTGCTATGCTGTCTCTTTGGGTAATAATCTATTTACTGGCGATCCAAAAAGTAGTCCAACGTTTCTAAATCTTCCACTGAACCTGAGAACTGTATTATCACTAATACTGTTCAGGACACTCTTTTCATTCGTTATCTGCTTGTTGATATGGGCGTTGCCATCACTGATCCCGTACATTTATATTGTAATAATGTTTATGCATCCTACTTGACTGTCTATTCAGCATGATTGTAGCAAACACATCAAGATTGACTATCACTTTGTTGGAGAGAGGGTAACTCATGGAGATTTGTTGTTAAGTATATTCATCCTCAGTTGCCATCAGCTGATATTTTTATAAAAAATCTGTCTAATCGGCACTTTGAATTTTTTCATTCCAATTTGTGTTGTCTCCCCTGCACACATTGAAGAAGTGCAATAATGTTGTTAGGATCACTTTGTAACTTTCCACACTTTGCTTATTATAAATATAAGGTCAGAACACCTAACAAGGCAAGTCATTACTTCCCAAAATTATATTACAACAACAACAGCCAAATCTTATTCTCAAAAGAATTTGAAATCAGCTAACATGAATCGATCTATGATATCGATGCCAAATAGAGAAGACATACAAGAAGAGAAGAAAAAAGGAAAAGAAGGAAGATAAAACAGATAGAATAAAGATAAATAAATATAAGATAACAATAAGGAAGAAAGATAAAATATATAAAAAAGATAAAAGAGCATACAAAGCTAGAAGATAAAAATAACATAAAAATATAAAAAGATAAAGAAGATAAACGATAAAAGAAAACGAGAGGAAAGGTAGAAAAGACATTAATCATCCACACAGATGTGCGCCTTCCACTTTGCTCTCTCCAAAGCCACACTCTCATTCAAGCCAAGAAGACTCATAACAGTCCCGATTCTTCTAATCCAAGTCTGTTTGGGTCTCCCCCTCACTCTTTTCTCTGCCTCTTCTCCCCACCCTTCAAGTCATCTAACAGGTGCATCACTCGCTCTTTTATGCTCATACCCAAACCACCACAAACGAGACTCCTGCATCTGATCTGCTATAGGTGCTACTCTCACCTTTTGTCTGGTTGTCTCATTCATCAAGCAGTGTTTTCTGGTAAGTCTACACATCCAGCGCAAGATACGCATCTCTAACACACTCAACTTTTGAATGTGACTTGTGTCACTACAAAAATTATAAATAAATGAAATTTTATTAATCCATGATCTAAAAAATAGATTAAGTATTAATTCAGGATATGAAAGATAACATGTGTCGATATAAGAATCGAATGATTTAAAACTATCAATCAAAGATCTAAAACTCCATGGTCTTTATTTATATAATTTTTTTATTAATTTCATTTCTAAATTTTGATGAGGTTAATAAATGTAAATAATACCCCATATATCAAAATTTTTGACATAGAAAATATTTGGAATAAAATTCATGATAATTTAGATCTTAGAATAAGAATTTTCAATCATTTCTATATTGACATATTTTATCTTTTACGTCATGAATTGATAGTGCATTTATGAAAATTCCATTATAAATGTATTTAGCACGATCAAATCACTTGATTTAAATAGATGAAAGAAACAGCGGAAATGTTACCAAGTTTGCCATAAAAAAATAATTATTGTGATCTCGTTATCATTTGTGACGATATAAATGCATCTCTTCACCACTTTTGCTTTTCCTTTACTCCGTGTCTCCGTCTCCCCCTTCCCCCACCCACCCCCACCCTCTCTCTCTCTGGGTTTCCTCCATTGCAAACCAAGCTAAGCTTTCTAGCCACTTTTGAGGCCCATCTCTGCCCCACATTTCACTCCACCATACCAAATCTTATAACCCGTGTTAGTCTTTTAGCCTTTCTGTGTCTCTCTACCCAGTTCCCCGTAAAACGATTAGACTGTGGTCTGGCCGTGTTTGGGAGCTTTGATTTTTTAATCGATTTTGTATGACATTCGCCTATATCCAGTTCTGCTTCCTTACAACTCGCCTGCACTAACGGGGGCCGCTCTGTCTTTGGGGCTTTTGTGGCTTCACGGCTTGTGTATTTCATCTCTGCATTGGCTATGCTGGTTGAGTCTCTGCTGAAAAAAGAGGCCTTTTTCCTCCACTCATTTGGCTTCTTAAAGAAGAAGATTGAAGAAATTAGGTTTCTTTCTCTTTCTTGAGGGTTAATTGCTTCTTTCTCCTTGGAAGAACTTTATTGTATCAGATCCAACCCTCTTTCTTTACCTTTCATTTACTTTCGTTATAAGCCATACCTTCTTTTTAGATTCCCTGAAGTGAAATTTGATAAATCTTTCATTTGCTATGTCACTTTTAGCTGTCAATGTTCGTAAGAATTTGAGGTGATTGATAAATCCTTAATTTTCTTGAGTTCAGTTGAATAGAATTTCATGTATTTGAGCCAGAAGAAAGTTCTGCATTATGTTTAGTGTTTGGGCACTTCCATCTATAGTTGTGATATGTATAATTTCTGTCTCATGTTTAGGATGTGGACTTTAGACCTGCCTGCATTTATCATATTCTCCTAAAAGTTGCTGTAAAAGACTCCGTACAAGTGTAGATATGTGTTACCCAAAATGCATAGTTTTTATGCTTTGTACTTGTCTACTACAATTTCAGTTTTTGCGTCAAACTTTATGCCTTGTTTGTTGTAAACTTGCAACAGTGGAAACATCTCCTCATATACTTCTTGCCCCCAAATGCCAGTACTTCTAGGTTTTTTAACCGCTCAAGTCCATAGAACCATTGAATCATACTATTGAATTACTTTTCAGGGATTCAAGCGAGAAATGGAGTGAATCTGGGCTCAAAACTTAGGCTTGATATCGACAAATTTTTCATTCACTTATCAGTTTGCTGAAAATGCCATCGGGGAATTTAAATGCTGCACTATCAAAGAAGACATCTTGTTTTGGTTTAAAACTATGGGTTGTCATTGGCATAAGTGTTGGTGTGTTCTTTGTTGGGATTCTATGTCTTTTGTCTGTATGGATCACATTTCAGAGAAAATCAAGAAGAAAGCATGACACTTATTTGCCTTTTGTTATACCAAACGTCTCAAAGGATATCAAGATGGACCAAGTTGGCACTGGAAATGTACACGAACAGCCTGAAAGTGTATTCCTGACTATCCGTGATAAGTCAAGTGAGAAGAAGTCAGAGAAACTGATTTCTTATTTAGATAGGAGTAAATCAAGTGATGGTGATAATATCAGTCAAGGTAGTTCAATTTACCATCACGAAAGGGGACTTAGTTCCCAATCTGGAGAGGAAGGTGGTTCTGGAACTGTTAGAAGGTTGTCTTGCTATGGACTTCCTATGGCATCTCCTTTGGTTGGCTTGCCCGAGTTTTCACATCTTGGGTGGGGCCACTGGTTCACACTAAGAGATCTTGAGCTTGCAACAAATCGTTTTTCTGCAGAGAATGTGATTGGAGAAGGAGGGTATGGAGTTGTTTATAAAGGTACATTGGTTAATGGAACTGAAGTTGCAGTGAAGAAGCTCCTTAACAATCTGTGAGCATGAATGGACATATCTTGTTTATTACATTCTTTCCATGTTTTCATTCATTCATCAGCAAATGGAAAATTTCCCTTGCAGTGGACAAGCAGAGAAAGAATTCAGAGTTGAAGTGGAGGCTATTGGTCATGTTCGACACAAAAATCTTGTTCGTCTTCTTGGTTACTGCATAGAAGGTGTCCATAGGTTAGCATCTTCAATTAAATAATTCCTCCCCTCAGATCCTAGATATTTGTTTCATTGACCAAATCACACAGTTTAAGAAAAAAACGCATTAGAATGATATTTTTACATTTTACCTAAAATAGCCTCAGTTAACACTGAGTAATTACTTTGATTTTCATTTCGTTGTATTGATTATTGATTTGTAAAAGTATATTTAAGCTTTTCTTCTTGAAGGATGCTGGTGTACGAGTATGTTAACAATGGGAACTTGGAGCAGTGGCTTCATGGAGGCATGAGACAATATGGTACCATTACTTGGGAAGCTCGTATGAAAGTTCTTCTCGGTACTGCTAAGGCGTAAGTTACTTTATTATATTTTTTCTTTGTTATCTTGTAAGTATTTTATTCTGTTTATTTTATTCTATTTATTTTATTCTATATGAATTTATTCTATTTATCTATTATATATATTTTTTTCCCATCATTTGCAATGGAGCCAAAGATTCATTATTTTTTGGCTTGAGAATATGATGGAATAAAGCAAAATGGCTCACTAAACTGTTTGCGCTTCTTTGTTATGAAGCAGCAGTCAGTCCATGCAATTTTGGACGTGATTTTCACTATCGGTCATCCGGAAACAGTCTCTCTGTGCTTTAGTACAGGGGTAAGACTGCGTACATCCAACCCCCCCTTACCCCACCATAGGTGGGAGCCTTTGCGGCACTGGGGTAAATGAAAATGATGATGATCTATAATCTATTATATATATTTTTCTTTACAACTATGCTCAAGTTAACTGGGTAATGTGATTTCAGACGTATAATAGAGGACAATACATTTCTTGCAGGCTTGCATACCTACATGAGGCTATAGAACCTAAAGTTGTTCACAGGGACATAAAATCGAGCAATATTCTTATTGATGACACCTTTAACTCCAAGGTTTCTGATTTTGGACTTGCAAAGCTCTTGGATTCTGGAGAAAGTCACATAACAACAAGAGTTATGGGAACATTTGGGTACGATCTCTTTTCATTTTCTGTCTACTTGCCTATCCAGAGGTTTAGTTTAAATAGGGTTTTTATGGCTAAACGGTAAAGTTTGTTTCTGTTATGGGAGTTTTCAGCTATGTGGCTCCAGAATATGCAAATACAGGAATGTTGAATGAAAAGAGTGACATCTACAGTTTTGGTGTCTTAGTACTTGAAGCAGTTACCGGAAGAGACCCTGTGGACTATAGTCGCCCTACTAATGAGGTAGTCTAAATATTTAATGCTCAGATAGGGTGTGTTTTTTGCCCCTGTAAATATATCCTTTTTTTAAATTTAGGTTGCTGTAAAATTATTTTTTGTCATTCGTCCGTCGTTCCATGTAATTTATGGCTTTTTATTTTTATTCCATTTTTGATTGCTTACTAATTCGTTTATGAGAGACAAGTAGGTGTAAAATGAAAGTGGGTTTAGTGAATTTTACTTAGCCCTAACTTTCTTAATAACCTATGAGTTACAAAGAAATAATGTAGAAAGATGATTGATTGGTGTTCTGTGAGGCACATTTAATTTTTGAATGGATGTTGAAGAAGGTAATAAAATGTAATGGCGTAAATTACTGGGAGGAATACCAAAAAAACAATTTTACAAGAAAATAAACAAATAATGGGGACGGAAACCATACTAGAGCCAAAATTCAATGCTTGGTAGATCAAAATGGGAAAAAGAATATAAGTTGTGTAGTCTGTATATATAAGTATCCGATGGTCTACCACTTAGTAACAAATGCTGTCTCTGCAATGACAGGTGAATCTTGTTGAGTGGCTCAAAATGATGGTGGGACAGCGGAGATCGGAGGAAGTTGTGGATCCTAACCTTGAAGTGAAACCTAGCACTCGCTGTCTTAAACGCGCACTTCTGGTGGCGCTTAGATGTGTAGAGCCTGACTCTGAAAAGCGGCCTAAAATGAGTCAGGTTGTTCGCATGCTTGAAGCAGATGAATACCCTTACCGCAGTGAGGTGCACATCTTTTTTCTTTCTCGCGTTTATTTCATTTTATTTTACTTGTCGTTCATAGGCTATACAGTTTAAGGTTTTGATATGATAATTAATATCATGAGACCCCTCCGATTATTGCATCGGTCTGGTCTACTCCTCTCGACCCCCAACACTTTTTTATTCACATTTATCATCCTTTTTGTTTAAGTCACCCAACATCAAATTTATATAAACATAAAATATATAGTATGGAGTATGATATAAGGTCTACTCCTCTTGTAGTTAGCCTTTTAGGCTTCAAACCGCAGTCTTAACAATCCTTTCTTCATTTCCTTAAAAAAAGGTCATTAACAGTTGCTCTTGTGCCGACTCTAGTGGAACATCTGTGTCCAAATGTGATCCCGCTTATTCTAAAAGAATTGATTTTCAAATTTATACTCTATCATTGAATTAAGGGACAAAAAAATATCGTACAAGCAATTTCTCCTCATTCTGATTGAGAATTTAGAACATAAATTTAGACAGACTTGATTCACTTTTCACCCTATAGCATCTGAGTCAAACGAAAATCTGAAACTAATGGTGGTCAGCCGTGTTAGTTGTGACAAAAACATAATTAATATAATTATATATCAAAATAAAAGGTAAAATAACAATTGTTCGTATTAATCCAATAATGTGATTTTTTAAGTGAGTGTACAAACAGAACATAATGTTCAAAGACTGTTCAAATATTTTTGGACAGGGAATATTATATATTTACTTGGTTTGTGCATCTTTGGAATAATTTTGGTATGCATGATTGTCATTCTAGATTTCTAGCATAGCTTATGTTTATGATCCTCTATGAAGTTCATTTTATAAGTTAAGTGGTGTTTAAACATGCTTTTAGATTAGAAACCTCTCATCAGACCACTTTTTTGTGGTCCGGCCCTGGTTCTATATTTGATCCTCCGGATTTCCAAGGCTTTTGCATTTTCTGTTACATACTAAACTGGCCCTGTCTGGTGAACGGATCAGTAGTATCCAAGTACCCATCCGTGCATACATGGTATGGTTGTGAGGATCAGTATTTTATGAATTTAGTTAGGGCAGGGAACGATGCCACCAAATGTTCTGGGAAAATAATCCGTTAAGCCACCCAACTCTTAGTATGGAATGAAAATCATTTCTTAATATGATGAAACCTCAAAACGCAATATGATTAAGCTTAGAGACCAGCCGAATAAGAAAATGCTCCCTTCGTCCGATTGAACTTTGTGCCAGCTTTGGTCTCATTGAACGTTGCCAACTTTCCCTTTTTGTTTGTCCCAAAATTTTTGCCACTTTTCCTTTAAAGTAATTAATTAGTAGTGGTTGTGCTCATTTTTTCTCCTTTGCACAAACTTCAACCTCAACTTTTATCATTTTTATTCCACACCTAACTCTAATTTTGCAATGTCCCACAGGACAAACATAATACAAAACTAACTTATCGTTCTGTACATTTTAGAATGAAACCCGAAACCTTAATATTATGAAATGCGAGAAATCAACAATAATTAGAAATGTTTGGTGAGATTAACCATTTGAATATGATATGATATCGGTTCAGGACCGTCGGAACAGAAGAGACTCAATGACAGGAAGCATCGGAAATGATTCGGTGAAGGACGATGGCTGTTCAACAGATGTGAGGAGCTTAGATAGTGACATTCGCCATGGATAACATGTGACAGAAACAAGGCATCTCCTGGTGGCTCCACCCCTTCAAGATCTAGTAGGCGTCCTTTTCAATGCTTTGATTTGAAGATTATGAGAGATTCCTGCGTTGACAGATGACCGCAATGTTGTTGTTCAAGGCTGTTCCTTAATTTGAACGTAGCTCTCGTAATCTCCGTTCAATGGGCTTCCAGAATTTGAAGATATTGATGTTATTGTAGGAGATGAAGTTAAAACATCAGGATCATTACTGTACAGTTTAATTATTGTGTTTTTCTGTGCTTTTATTAATACATGATGATGAGCATCAGATCTTTCTATTTTATCTCTTCATTTTATCCAATGCTACAAATCCCTTAAATTTAGAGTATGTTCGATAAAATTGAGATTGTCTAAATCGATTAAATATGAGGGTGTTTGGAATTGATTTGCTTCTGTTTCCTTTTTAAAGTTGGTCTCCCCAAGTATCTAAAAAAATTGCTTCTAGGAGTAAATTAGAGTACAAGAACTTTTGCATTTTCACTCAAACATTCCAACTTCTGCTTCTGCTCCGAAGTAGTAGAAGTAGTTTTAAGTATTAGATCCAAACACCTCTATGTTGAAATCAGTGTAATTCTCACCGAGTCACCGTAAGTGGTTTAATCTATTGAAATATGAAAAATTATATTTAAAATGCATTTTACTAATAAAATAATTACGCGGAGTGAAAAATAGCTAAAGTTGTCATTTTACTAAATGTAACCAATTCAGTTAGGAACTTTATTTGTTTGGACTATTACACAATCGAAAACATGAGTTATCAATTGGGCCCACTTTAATTTGTAATTTAAAACATGTTTTTATTTCGCGTAAGAAATGGTGATATTATTGCTTAGAACATAATTATAATGCACCTAATCGCGTTTGTGTTTGTATTTGTGATGGTTATGATGTATGAATGTGACATATAATGATACAAACATTACCATTACTTACGTTTGGATGTTCAAAGGTCGTGGTCATTAATGAATTACTCCCTCCGTAACTTTGAAATCTTCCCATTTCAAAAGTAGGTAGATTAAGAATAGTGAAAGATGATATGAATTAGTGAGGGTATGATGGGAAAATTGTGGAATAATGTGGTGGAATGTAGGATAAATCCAAAAAAAGTAGTTGTAATAGTGTATTATTTTAGAAATTATTGAGGGTATGATGAGAAGATTTAGAAATGAGAAGATTTTTTTTGTTACGGACGAAAAAGGAAAGTGGGAAGATTTTTAAGTTACGGAGGGAATACTTCGTATGTGTGTTAGTTATGAGTCAAATAAGATGTTTGAAAAGTTTAGGGGTCAATTGGGGGGTCTTGTGTTGGAAGTGTAGGGCCACTTTTGAGCACTTGATAACCTGACGTATAACAATGGGTACACAAATAATTGGTCAAATATCTAAGAACTACCTTGAATGGTCTCATTTAATTTGCAAACAAACAAAAGTAATTAAATAATTAGAATAAATACAACAATAAAGAATAATGCCACAAAAGCTCCTAAGGTAAGACCATATGAGGGATTGAATGTACGCACCGAGTGGTGGAGCTACAAGTGTTCTAAGATGTTTACACAAACACCCAATTTTTTTAAACATCTAGGTACATACGTGTACATTTACTATAATTATTTATTACTCTTAAAATTTCTAGTTGTAAAAAAACATTGAACTCCCAAAATTTGAATTCCAAACAAGCCATCGTGTGCAACCTACTTCAGTATGACCCATGATGAAAATAATGAGAATGAATATTAAAAATATGTTTACACACGTCACGTACACATAGTATTTCAACAAAAGATGTTTAAAGCAATGACAAAACGATTGCAATTGTAAAACAAAACAAAATAAACTCAAACTTGTGAAACAATTTGAGCTGTTTTTTACATATGGTTATAAAATGTTTTTCAGTCGTTACAAACCTACCATTGATGACAGATATTACTACTTTAATTTTTTTTTCTTAAGCTCAGGGTTAAATTAGACATTTTAAAGTTTATATGCAATCAATTATTTTTGGGAGAACTATCAAATAAGTTCTCGAACTTACATAAAAAGTGCAAATCACCCCTCATATAGGAGGCTCTGTCCGGCCATCGCCATTTGGGGCGGTTCCCGGTGGGAATTTTTGATGAAAATTTATCAGAATCTTATTCATTAAGTCTAATTTACCCATACCAAATTTCAGCTAAAAATTCAATTGGGAAGACAGTCAAATGAATTTTTGAAGATAACTGCACAGTTAAACAGCGCAGCATATTTCAGAAAATCATTTGACTGTCTTCCCGGTTGAATTTTTAGCTAAAATTTGGTATGAGTAAACTAGATTTAATGAAGAAGATGTTCAAAAATTTTCATCAAAAAGTTCCACTAGGAACCACCCTAAATGGCGACGGGCGGACATAATCTTCTATACAAGAGGTGATTTGTACTTTTTATGTAAGTTCAAGCTAGTTATCCGTTGTTTTTTTAAAGTTCAAGTGATTCCTATCACTAGGAATATCTTTGTCAAGTTGATTAAGGTGCGAAGAACGTAAATAGTTGAACGGTCATATTTTAGGAATATAAAAAAAAAGTTGAAGGGGCGGTGTTAATAGTTACGTTTGTTGTGTTCTGATCCCTTTACACCACAAGACATTTGGCCAGCAGCCTGAAATCCACAAGGGATAACTCTGGTGAGCTCAGACAGTCCCAAATAATTGACAACTTAAACAAGATTCCTTCTGGCCCCCCTAATGCTAATGATTGGTATGTGCCCAAGAAACTTTAAAATAAAAATATTGCATAACATGTCTAGATTTACATGACACTAATTTTTGAAATAAACAAATAAAATAACCCCACTTTTCAAAGTTGAGTAAAGTAAGGATTACAAAAAAACAGAAAAGCCTAACTGGACTGATATATCGGTCCAAATCGAACCGGATCAAATCGAAATCGAACCGATTCTTGGTGGTTCGATTTACGGGTTGTACTTTTGGGTTTATAGAATGACTGAATTATGCTAAAACTGACTGGAACCAATCCAAACTCATCGAGATTAAGCAAAGCAAAACCGAATCAAGCAGCATTGTGAGGTTCTTGATTTCACTTTTCAGAAATCAACTGATTAAAAAACGAATAAATAAAACCGAAACCAATGAAAGTGAACTGAGCAAGGATGTTTTCTTTTGGATTGTTTTTAGTTCCAGACCAGACCAGACCAGACTTACGTAGTTATAAAATAGAGATCAAACTTTTACTAGACCAAATCAGATCAACAAATTTCAGTCCAAAAGAAAACATCTTAACACCGTACCCCTAGAACAAACAACTCCACATCCCTTCATTTGTCAGAATAATATGATAATTCATGAATAATATAGTTACATAGTGGCATCAGGCATGTGTTACTAAGGAATTAATTGATGGAGGAATACTTGGAAAATATTAATTAAACTTGAAATGGATACCAAATTCATTTGTAGATGAAAACGAAAAATGGAAACTAAATACGGTCATTAACCAAATGACCGTTTTAGTTATTGAAAAAGATGACTATTTAATTTAAATCAAACTTTCTAATAGATGATACTAAGCGCAGCTTTTTAAAAAATATATTTAAAAAAACTTCTTAAAACTATTGTATCAAACATACAACCAAAAGCTTTTAGAGACATACGTAGTATTAAATTGTACAAAAAACAGGAAGTGAGAACTATGCCTACCAAACATGCACTAAATCTAAGTTTGATAAATACTTGAATGCTAATATAAGATATAACTGTGGCTAAGACGAGAGTATTAAAACCATAATGCATAAAATAAAATAATAATGCAATAACAAATTAACAATAGTATTATAGTAGTAGTCGTAATAAAATTAACTTGTTAACAATATTCAAATGCAGTACATTGGTGAGTAACCGGGCAGATATCAGTCACTCATAACAGTGTGTTGTGAAATAATTCATAGAACAAAGGGTCGTCAAATTCATGATCTTTTACTATTTTTCTACTTAGATTTATTTCAACCTAGACTAGATCAGACCATAACAGACTAAATAATAAACTAGAAAATTGCCTACAATTCTACAAGGTTTTTTTTGGGACAAAATTCTACAAGGGTTGTGTTCTTTGATTTAACTTTGCCTGATTTTTTTGAATAAAAAGTGGAAAATGGTAATCACTCAAGTAATCAGCAAGCATTTCCATTACTTCTTTCAAATAATGTTGAATTGTCAACCGGCCAAAGCGTCATCTAACACTGAGTAGGAAATTTCAAATTTATGCCTTTGCTATAATACAAAGGGTTTTATATTTTATAGGATTTCCAATGTGAGCCATTGTCGTTCTTCTATGGTCATATCTGAATTGCACGAAACAAGAGTATCCCGGATTTGAGCCTTACCAAAAGAATCCGGTGCCTATAACGGTCAAATTTATAGGTCTTCATTTCCCCAAGTTTATTTGTATTACATGAAAGAATGGATGAATGTTAGGAAGGAGCCCACCTCTCATCAATTATTGGATGGTCGGCCTTGGTAGATGTCGCATATATGTTAGGAAGCTCAGGAATTTCAGGCATTCATTGCTCATATTGACTAGGACGATTCATTCTCATTCATAAAAAAAAAAAGGATGACACTCATCCCTGAGGGCCCCCAACATCGTCCAGATGAAACGATGAGAGGATGTAAATTGGACAATAATCACAATCTGATAGATAGAGAGTGGGGCTCTGTCCCCGGTACTTGCAGAGGCCCTCAATCATCGCAGTTGTCGGGAGTCGAATGCGGGACCTAACCTTTATGGCACTCTCTCGTTATCAGTTGAGTTACGCCGACCGGTCATTCATTCCCATTCATTTGTATATTGGATGGATCCTTCATTGTAAATTAAATTTAATGGCCATATCTTTTGATTGGATGATCAAAATCAAGTGATTCAAGTTGTGATGAATAGAGAATTTCGTGAGTTACAACTGTGGTGAGGAGCTATAACCAAATTCGAAAAAAAACGTGAGTTTCTATGAGTCACTCAAAGGGACGTATCTGGCGTGGGGGCAGGGGGCAGCTGCCCCCACTCAACCCCGCCCAACCCCATTACATATATATCAAATTCTATTTGTGTGTATATATCATTGTTTTATGTAAAGTATAATAAAGCTTAAGCTCCTAACTTAGCAAAGTGTGTTCTGTAGCCTAGCGGCTGAAGTGTTTGATGCCTCCGTTACTTTGGCCAAGGCCGAACCCTCCTGGCCACTTTATTGTAGTTTTGTTCTTTTGGAACTGTTTGATATTTGACCAAATTTAAGATTCAATTTAATTTTTTATTGTAGCTAATAAATGATACGAAGATGTAATTTCAATAACATCTTTTTACACTTAATATTAAAATTTGTTTATTTGTAACTTAAATCACTTA